CTGTCTGGGCTGTGTATGTACGTGTACTGTATGAATGGGAGTGTGGACGTGTGTGTGTTTATCAGCAGGGTGAAGCGTGATCGTCATGTACACAGAAGCACATTTGGGCGGTTTTAAGAGAGCTGAAGTTTGACCTGCATGATAGTGACGAGGGTTAGTGAGTGAGTTACTTAACTAGGAGGTAGTTTGTGATTTTGCTGCGTTGCATTTTCTGTGTTGATCTTCCTTTTCTCTCTTTTCCTCGCATACTTTTCTCAAGTTTGAATGTATGATGAGCTTTAACAACATATTGGCTCACAGAAAGGTATTTCCTAAGTGTGTTATTAATTTAGATAATAATGAGGCTTGGTGTTGCTAAAACATTTGTCCTCAACAATACTGACGAAACAGTTAAAACAGGTGATACATTTCCAGATTGAAAAAAGAATAACACAAATTGAGGGTAGTGCTAATAACTTTATAATATTAAGCAATATGTTTTAGATTTATAGGGTAAATTAGTTCAGCACATGTGAAGTATGTTTTTAATTTTATCTTTCATTTTAATTAATCTTTAATCTTGTGTGAATATGTGCTGTCCTGTTTTTCAATCTCACCCTGTTGCTGTTTAAACTACTGAATGATCCCATGGGGATTGATAAACGTCCATCTTATCTTATCTTATATTATATGTGTCCATTGCTCATTTTCTGTTCCTAAGTTACGTCATTTTTAATGGCTTGATGAAATTGTGCTTTTTGGAGAGTCTCAGGTGCATGAATCAGCATTTTATACAATCATTGTTCATTGATGGAGTCGCTTTAATAGCTCATACATGGCTGTTGTTGGTCTCTGACGTAGATACAGGCCGGTGCACACACGGTTGTGTTCGACTAACCAAGCTATTGTTGGCCGGTCTGATGCTGGTCTTGTTGTGTGCAGCCAGTGAACCCAGAGCCTGCAGAGCACTCCAAGAACTTTGCAACGCTGCACTTTCCTCAGTCCTTGGACGGCGACACTTATGATGCATTTTCAACCAGAAAAACAGCCCATTAGTTGCAGTGAATCTTTTGCAGGAAAGCCAAGTCATAGAAAGTTTCAGTGGAATTCCCTTCTGAGGACAGTTGCCTTCTGCTGCGTTTGTTCTGCTTATGAAAAAAAATGTCTCATCTACAAACAAAGATACAAATAGAGAACAAAGGCAGCATAATGAAGGACATGCTTATGAAGCCAAACAAGCCCACAAGGGAGCATGGACTGCCCTCTGAGCCTCCTGTGAAACATTTGAACTAATTGAATCTCATAAATAGAAGCCATAATGTGCAGATAAATACGCTGATTTGATATGAAAATGGACAGAGATATTTAAGTTGAGTATAAAAGACAGTAATAATACAAGCCCTAAATACCAAGGGACTCGTTTCATATGTAACTCTGTCTTAGTGTGGACATTGAGAGAAGCATTAGCCAGACGAGCTAGGTCAGGGTGCAATACTGCAAGAGATACTGCTCCCTTTTCACACACACACACACACACACGCACACGCACACGCACACACACACACACTTTATGGCTCTTTTGACAACTATGCTTGCTGTGAGTGTGTGTGTTTATAGTGTGCTTGTGTAGGACAGAGGGACAGCAGGCAGGGAACCAATAGAAAAGCAGTATGAAAGGGGCTGGGCATGGTTTCATAGGTGCAAATGGACACACAACCACACACACGGAAACACACACCCAAGCTGCCAGTTTTATTGAGTGTGTGGTGTGACGGACAGGGAACTGAATCCTAGGCTGCTGAGTAGGAGGAAAAACCTGCAGTTTTGTGTGTGTGTGTGTGTTTATGTGTGTGTGTGTTTGTGTAGATATTTGGTACAATTTTCCACAAGGTGAAACCAGGTGAAAGCGTTGTCCCTGTATTGTTTCAAAACCTGAAATTGAAAGATATATTTTAATTTATGAGAGTTCAATAGACTGCACTGTATAATATATTGCATAAGAGTGGTAAGAGGTAATGATTTGATGGGTGTTTAAAGCAGGTGAATGACTTCCAGAATGACTATTTCTAAGAAGCATGTACTTAATGTGCTTTGTGTATTTCATTGGTTCGTGTGGTGCCTTATCGTCTGCGCTAGGTGTTAGCCCCTGGGCAGAGTATGTGTTTGGTGTGTGTGTGTGTGTGTGTGTGTGAGAGTATCTTTGTATGTGTCAATGAGTTTGTGTGTGTCTTTCTCTCTCTGTCTGCGGCTAATCTCATATGTCATTCCTAATATTTTGTGGTGTCCATTTATGAGTGTATGTTCGTAAACCTCTCCATGTTATTGACTGTTTTATACCATACTGGATAGTGGACCCCTCACTCCTCTAAAAAGGCTGTCAGGGGCCACTAGTGCTCAACAATTTCAGACGCAAAAGCTATTTCTAGCAAGGCTAAATAAATGCCTCACCTTTCTACACATTTTAGCCTTTTTCATTGCTCAAATCTACCATCCAAAGTACTCTCTTGAACCAGAGTGTCTGCAGATGAATCCCTCCCCTCATATGTTCTGATCCACCAAAGCATTGCCCTATAAGAGATATATTCATCTCTATTTGTGTAATCATCGTTTCCATCTTGACTTTAAGGGAGGGACAGGGCTGTGACACTGATAAGAGTGGATACGTTTACAATCCTAATAAAGTTTTTAATCGAACCAATAATATTTTAAGCCATTTTGTACACAGAAACTGAAACACGTGTTGGTATATTGACCAAAATGGAAAAGTTTAGAAAGCTTGCATTGATAATATTGTGTACTTATTTTTCAATTTGATTTTCTTCAGATATTTCTTGATTTATATAATTTTCAATGATTGCATTTTAAATATTTAACTCAAAGTTGAGCATGTTTAAAGCAACATCGACTTAAATGGGTGATGAGTTTCATTTGAATTCACATTCAGGTAACATCCTGTACAGCATGACGGTCACAAGTCAGAGAGCATGAAGCAGACGGTATGCTGATCTTGTGAATGACAACACTCTCAGTCTCAAATACACACAGCTTATTGTATATAGACTTTTTAATAACAAAATGTTAGATAATTACTGTGCCTTCTCTGCTAAAGCTGTGTTATCAAGGTATTCATCTTGTGTGTTCAAGTCTTTTGTTGTACTTTCTGTTTTGTTAGTGTGTGTATGAGTTTTTATCCTGTATTTTATCCTTTATTTGTATACAAGATGTTATACAGGTTTCACATGCCTGCATGCCCGCGTGAGCGTGAGAGTGTGTTTATTGAGTTTGTCTGAACTCGGTACAAACAAGATAAAGTGTGCTTTAGTATCATGCCTGTCCCCAGGGCCTCGTTGTCACATGACCTCATTTTGTGTTGCCAAGACGATACCTTATGTCAGGGTTCAACCTAATGCTCCGATCCGGCCCGTGACCTTGGTACGTGTCTTTGTCGCTATGGTAACAGCCTCCGGGGCTACTGTAAGTGAGCCGAGTACGCTTGACGCTCGCATGGAGCATTGAGTTCTCTGCTTGAGCATCAAATGAGGCACTTTGCTACATTTATTTACCAAGAGAAGATTAACTCACTCCATTACAGGAACACCCTGCAACAAGGTCATAAAAATAGATTTACACCTGCGTGACACATGATACCAGAGTCTTATGCTCCAAGCTACTGCAAAATCACTGGAGTAGTTTGATATGAGGAGCTTTGCATTGTAGTTGTAAACGGAATATTAGGGATAAGTGTTTAACTCACTTCTTAAATAGTATTTATGTTCTTTAATTATGATAATACAGGGTAGAAAAAAGAGAAGTGGGGTACTGTTGTAAGAGAAATGTTTTAACAGGACACAAATACATTGTATTTATGAGTTTATTATTATGGTCGACTAACAGTTTATATAAAAGAGCTTTATGAAACTGCATTAAATCAGTGTGTCACATGTTTATCTGTACTTTTAAGGAAAAAACATTAACCATTTTAGCTCAGAATTCAATTTAACGTTAATTCTCCATCAGGCTAAGAACCAAACAAAAGAAAAACCAACAACAACATTTTGTTTCTAGAACAATACTAATTTGCTTTCCATTTAATCATATTAGCTCTCAGTTTACCAGAGGCATTTGGTCAAAGGGAGACATTGTCCTCACCAGACAGTTAACAAAGTTCATGAAAGAGACCTTAATGCCTCCTAATGTTTTTCTTTCTGAGCAGGACACACGCCTCAAAGCTGTGTCTCATGCGGGTAAACAAAGCGTGGTTGCCATGCCGATGGGGCGTTGGTATATAAATAGCATGGGTGTTTGTTCTGAATAATCCTGAGAGAGAGAAAGAGGCAGGGAGTTGCAGGGAGACAGTGATAACTAGAGTTCAAAATCTAAAAGTACAGACAATTACAGACGCACATGCATTATAACAGACCTGTAAGAAAAAAAAGATTTCGTCCACTATCAGATACTAATATACAGATGTTATTTTTAAACCTTGTGCTCTGGGGGACTCTGTCAGGTCAAGCCTATGTTGGCAATTAATGTGCATCCAAAAGGCAACAGTTTGCTTCTCTTATTTAGAGAATCAAGAGAATGTTGGCATAGCTAAATGTTGCAAAAAGCACACCCATTGATGTTGCTTTTATGTTTTTCATCAATGTCAGTGTTGAAATATTAATAAACCATCTTGGTAACATTATAGAGCTAACTGAACAGATGCGTAAATTCTTCATTTGGAAAATAACATTTGGCTAAACGTTAAGCTGATGATTGTTATTACATAGCAGGGGTTCTGCTTATTATGCAGTGATAATTGAGCTACTTTGCACCAGGACACCGCTCCTGTGTTTGTTTTATTGTTGGTTGTAACCACTGTGTTGGTTAAAATAAATACTTGTTTTGGGCAACTCCTGTGTGGAACTGTTGTCCTTATGTTGCAAGCAGAGCCAGCTTGTAACAGTAGAAAAATAAAAAGCCATATCAGGAACACTTGGTGTTAATGGTGTTAATGTTTCCGCTGTGTCTCCCTGTAGGGAATGGTGACAGCGCCTGCAGACAAACAGACGTGGACAGACAGGCACCCGGAGCGCTGCCCTCCCATTGGTGGAGAGATCCAGACTTCACAGCAGGAAGTGCAGCTCCAGTCGGTTGTCAGCTCTCCACTGAGCAGCAGGCCCCACCTCCTCCACCCAGGAAGCTCTGCCCCCCCGCTCAGGTAGGGAGAAAGCAGAAAGAGTCTAACCCATAATATGTGTTTGGTTCAGATCAGATAATTACATACGCCCCTTTCACACCAACGCAGTTCCCGTTCTAGCTCCGTGCTCGAGCTTTTCTGGTTCGGAACCGGTTCTTCTTTTCAGCCCGCGTTTAGTTCACACCGCCCAGAGCCCGACTGGTGCTTTTCAGGCTCTAGCTCCGAACCGGCCCTGGAACCGCGATGGTGTGAAAGGGGCAACAAACGTTTGGTTAGTTTGTTCAAACTAACAATCAAACTCTGCATTCACATCACAAACAAACCGCACCACAGTGGAGCTTTTGTGATAACAAAACATAAAACCTATCTGCTGATTTTAAACTACAGTATTTACATAGTGGTCATATAAGCTTGCATAAGAGATTGAAATACTAATGCAAGATCATTTGGTAACCAGGCATTTCCATAATCATTTGATTTCCCTGATCAATCAGACTGCCAATAGGAGTTTTAACTTTGCTGACAGATCATATTTCAATTTTGTTGTCAAAAAGCCATGGAATCAAGTGACCACAGAGTGATTATGCAATGAGTACAAGATGCTTCTTTTTCAGCTGTTTCTACATTTAAAAAATGTTTTTATCACATACAAGCTCTAGTTGTAGTGTTACGAAAGTACTTTTCATGAGCTCTTTCATGTGACACCAGATAGGATAAAAACATGAGATGCAGCGAGGTGTTGCATGACATGCTGTGGATGAGCAGAATAACAGATGTGAAAGGGACTGTAGATCAGCAGACTTAACTGACTTTTCTTCACAACAATGAGAGGCATTATCACATTGTTTTCAGATGATCCACTGACGAGAGAAAGAGAACATTATTAGATTGGTAAACCCAGCACTAGTTATCTTATCTGCTTTAGATCTGCAAAGAAGACAAGTAGACGAATAACAAAATAATTGCCATGGATTAATCATTAAACATATTTTTCATGCAAAAGGCAGATGTGTTCATCCCTTTCCCATATGGAGATATCCTGCTTTTCTTTGCTTCACAATCATGAAACCCAAAGTCTCTCGGTGTTGTACTGACAAAAAAAATCCATTTAAAGACTTCACCTTTGACTTGACAAACAGGGATGGACATATTTCACAGTTATTTGACATTTTATAGAACAAATGATCGTCATATTAATCCATAATTTAATATAGTTCTGGCTGCAGTTAGCTGTCAGCGTTGGAGTTGTAACATAGCATAGTCAGAAGAACAGATGTGCTTATGTGTTTTCCTGTAGAGGATAAACTTGTCTGGGCCTGTCTGAGCTCCCCCCCTCTCTTCCTCCATGTGATTTGTCTGATTGTATCCTTTGCTTTCCTGACCTTCCCACTGATGTCTTCTCTCCCTCTAAACTCCCTCCATTTCATGTAGTCTCTATCCTCTCTTTATCTGAGCTGCCTCCTCTCTTCCTCCTCTCTGTTTCCTCACCCTCCACACGTCAGCCCTTTATCTCCGTCTCACCAGCTGTGTGCTGCAGCTCTCCTATGGGGGAGAGTAGACTGAATAGAGGGGCTTACTGAGGACAGCCAATCCCTGCCTTTTCGTCTCCTCTCTCGTGTCCTTTCCTCTGTCCTAAGACTCGGCTGTGACCAATCCCGTGTCCTCTGTTTTCTGCTGCTCGTTGTGCCTTCAGCATCTCAGATTTTGAAGCATTTCAAGACAGGATGTGAGGTAAAGATATTTCACAAAAACAGAAAATACAGGCTGGATGTTTTTACAAATTTCCATGAATTTACAGATATCCAGAAGATGATTGGTTCAAATAAATCACTAAACTCAAATAGAAGTGTCTTTGGAGTCTCTTACGAGTTGCAGCTGCTTTTGACGAAACACTATTTTGTTTATACCCTTCAGAAATATACGGTTACACTTGACTCACCAACAGCATCATTAGATTTGCCGCCAGCGTGCCTGGGGACTTATCTTCATAACTATACAAATATGTTTTGAAGTACAGACTAATTAGTTTATTAAATTAATGTTGTACTAATTCAGAGAGGGGAGGTGTACATTTAGGAGAGCTTCTGAGAGAAAATGTAAAGGAAAGGTAATATACAGATGAAAGAAGGGAGATAAATAAATGAAATTTCAGAATATAAAGTAGTCTTATACATTTTGTTTTGTTTCTTTCTCACTCACAAAGATCCCACCTTTCCTTGCCCTCCGTCTCTCCTCCCTGTCTCCTCCTTTATTCACCCGTCACTTTTGCAGAATGGTGATTACACATTTACACTCTCTCCTTCTTTCTGCCTTCATTCGCTTTTGTAAATGTACCATCGACAGTTGCTTTTCTCTGAGCAGAACGCCTCAGAAATGAGCAGATGGAGGGCTGACAGTCAAACAATGACGCTGGGCGGTAAGTCCCCGTGATCAACACATGTCAGAAAATGGCTGTTAATGGAGGGACCATATACAGTCTGTCAGCCTTCTCTATAGGGGATGGATCCATATTTGTCTAAGTGCCTGTTGAAGATGTAGAGTCAGAATACAATCATTTAAGCTTTAACAAAAGCGTCAGGATGTTTGGCATGTGCCTTATGTTCTATCCTCATGGCTTACAATAAGTGAAACTGTAGAATAAGCTTGTGTTACAAGAGACAGAGCTCACTGCATGTCATACATACATATTACACGTTCCTTTTGAATGTGAGTAAAGATAGTGCTCCTTGAGTGTGTTAAAGGTCAATCCTGCTTGTGTGAGTGCGTGTTAAAATGGACTGGTAAACAATGCATGGCATTGTTTTTGCTTGACTATTAAACTTGTCTGTTGTTTGTTCTTTTTAACTTTAGGGAAAGAACTATTTTACTTTTTGTGTAAAGCACAGTAATACAAAGATTATCCAGAAGACTATTTATCTTATATTGGTTCATCTCACAATGTCTATACTTAGGGGGGAAATTACATGTCAATATTGTATTATTGACATATGGTTGTAGACTGGGATTGCTGTTTTCAGCTGCATTTGAACACATATTATTATTTTAAAGAATGGGGTGATTAAACAAATAGAATTAAATGGTGGTTAAATGTGCAATTATGATAATTTAGTGTAAGTTAGTTGAGTTATTTAATGGTCAGTAACAGGTTTGCCCAGCCATGTTTTTCAAATAATTTACACAAATGTCTGGGAATATGTTACTAAGTGTACTGGTCCATACATTCTTAATTATATACAGTTGCAAGAAAAAGTATGTGAACCCTTTGGATTCTCCACACATAGCGTTGTGTGTTCCTTCCAAACAACTCATATTTGGTTTCATCTGTCCACAGAATATTTTGCCAGTAGTGCTGTGGAACATCCAGGTGCTCTTTTGCAAACTTCAAACGTGCAGCAATGTTTCTTCTGGACAGCAGTGGCTTCCTCCGTGGTGTCCTCCCATGAACTCCATTCTTGTTCAGTGTTTTACGTATCGTAGATTCGTCAACAGAGATGTTAGCATGTGCCAGAGATTTCTTTAAGTCTCTAGCTGACACTCTAGGATTCTTCTTCACCTCATTGAGCATTCTGCGCTGTGCTCTTGCAGTCATCTTTACAGGACGGCCACTCCTAGGTAGAGTAGCAACAGTGCTGAACTTTCTCCATTTATAGACAACTTGTCTTACCGTGGACTGATGAACATCAAGGCTTTTGTAATCCTTTCCAGCTTTATGCAAGTCAACAATTCTTAATCGTAGGTTTTCTGAGAGCTCTTTTGTGCGAGGCATGGTTCACATCTGGCAATGCTTCTTAAGAATAGCAAATTCAAAACTGGTGTGTATTTTGTATAGGTCAGGGCAGCTTTAACCAACACCTCCAATCTCGTCTCATTGATTGGACTCCAGGTTGGCTGACTCCTGACTCCAATTAGCTCTTGAAGAAGTCTTTAGCCTAGGGGTTCCACCCTGCACTGTGAATGTTTACATGAGGCGCATTCACACTGCGGTACTTTTCCCACAAAGGTTCATGTGAACTTAGTTCATGTGAACTCTTTTATCGCGTTCACACCAAAAAGAGCCGGTACTAAAATTAGTTCATGTGAACCTTTTTACCCCCTCGAAAGTCCCTGCTAGAGAGCAGGGACTTTCGAGCGGCTCTTTTGTGAGAAAAGAGCTACATTTCTGATTGGCTGGAAGGATTGCAAACCACGCCCCGCAAAACTCCCAAAAAGTGTTGTGAATCCGCCATTTTATTATCCTCGCATTAGCATTATTAGCATTAGCCCAGCGCAGAAACGCAGAGAGACTAACTTATGGCAACACAAAATAAAAACATGGGAGTGGTGGAGATGAGGAGGTGTCGGCGTTCTGGCGATTTACTCGGAAGGCTTCAGTAGAAGCTGCTGGGAGTCCCAGCAGCTTCTACTGAAGCCAGTCCCTAACTCCGGGGACTTCCGGCCGGGGATTTTGGGCGGCAGTATACGCCGTGAAGTGGTTTGCGGCCTGCCAGTAAACCCAAAGCAGAAGAAGAACAAGTGACGTCAGCGGCTTCATTTGCCTAATCCACCCCAATCCACCCCCAGGGACTTTTTCCAGTGTGAACGCGATCTGTACTGTTCATGCGAACTAAAGAGTTCACATGAACTAAGTTCACATGAACCTTTGTGAGAAAAGTACCGCAGTGTGAATGCGCCTATGGTGTGTTCAATACAAACATGAAAACATATAATTGTTTGTGTGGTATTAGTTTAAGCAGACTGTGTTTGTCTATTGCTGTGATTTAGATGAAGATCAGAACACATTTTATGACCAATTTATGCAGAAATCCAGGTAATTCCAAAGGGTTCACATACTTTTACTTGCAACTGTATGACTTTCCAGGAAAAATGATTACATTTCTCAAAAAGTGAATGCCTACAATTGTTACAAAGTTATATCCAAGAAACTTGAAGCAATTAATAACTAGATGCTTCTTGATTTCATTGTGTTTTATTAAGTCAGTTGTCAACTCTACTGTACAGGAGTCATAGAAATAAGAGACACC